CCTACTAGGACTTGAACCTGAAACCCACTCGTGGAGGGTTGGGTGCCTAGACCACTAGGCCGCGGGATCCCAACCCATTTTACTTTGAATTATATATAGTGCATTTTATAATAATTAATAAAAATTAATAAAAATTAAAAAAATTTATATTTAAATTTATTAAATCAAACAAATATTTATTTGTATTTAATATTAATAACTTAAATTAAATCAAATAAATTTAAAAACTCTAGAATAAGCCAATTAAATTTAAATAACAAAGTAAAAAATTATAAGTTTTATAATTTTGATTGTGTCTATTCAAAAAAGGAATCGTAATTTAAAAAAAATCACTAACAATTTGAAACTACAGTAATTTAAAAAATTCCAAAAACAAAAGAAAAAAAAAGATACGTATAATGCAATAAAGTTATTAAAGAAGCCAGTAATTTATATTCGAGTACATATACGTTGTATGATATGTACATTTTTTTCTTTGAATTAAAAGTACTGAAATTATCATTACAATTTTCTTTTTTTATTACTTCAGATTAATAGAATCTTGAATTATTCGCATATTACATTAGGTACATATATTCAAGAAAATTCCACTTCGGCTAGAAATAGCTGAACATGGTCCCCGGCGCTCTGGTGATATCGTAATCACTTAAGATCCGAATTCGGATTCTGAATCTACAGATATTCCGTAACCACTCATAACATATTAAAGATTAGTATGATAAAGAAAAGGTTATAAAAAGAAAGCTATTTGAGCCGAAATTTCCGCTATGACGTCAGATTAAACGAAGAATAACACCTTTATTTCCCACTTCGGGGGATTTACCTCTTATTCGCCTACGCGGGAAATAAATACCACTTTAAAGTTAAAAGTCAGTAAATCAATATAGTTATGTTCCGGGTCTTGCTCAAGAAACAGGCTTTGAGTAATACCCGGGTCTTAATAATGGGGATATTATTCAAATTTTGGGGGATATTTTTTTGATCATTTAATAAACCACAGAATCGAAAGTCACACATCAATAATATCACTATTCGTACTTTTTATATATAACGATAAGACTAGCTAAAATATTGTGCACGATTTCGATCACTAAGAAATCACATCGAAAGATGCTTGAAAACGCCTTAGATAACCTAAATAGAAAATGATTAAAATACAGGATGTGTGTATAAATCAATTAGATTGGCTTAACTGGAACAATTTGAAATCATCAATTAACCCATATTTATGCAATATCGATACCCCAATACATATTAAGTATTAGATTTCAGCGACGTTAAGAATATTCATGTTCAGTAAACTTATCTCGAGACAAAAATTTCATTAGGTTGGTAATTTAAATAAGAGAATTTTCAAGCAGCTCCTTTATAGAATTTGCCATAACGCGAAACGAGGATTTTAAATTTTAAACAATCAATAAAAGAAACTAAAAAGATGACTGCCTCTTCATCAAAATGATAATTCACTTGGTCAATTTATTTCAATTACGTACCAACTAATTAACCGATCTATTGTTTTTTTTTAAGCTTTAAAAGAAATTTAATCCCCTCAAAGCGTATGATCAACAAGGACATTGCCTGTACAATTCGTTTTTCATCCTAACTTTAACTTCATTAACAAATTTAAATTTGAAATTACGTATTTTAGGCATTTAGATTTACATTATTGGTCGATCAAATAATCAAAAAATATTCACACGTGAGGCCTTTTTTTTTTTTTTTTTTTTAGACCTCCATTTTTGCTAACACAAAACTCGTTTAATCGTTAATAGTTCGTTTATCGATTAAAAATATTAAACAAAGCATCCCGAAACTTTCAGGTTTTACCTCAAAATGCCGAACGTAACAGTCTCGAATTCTCAAATTGAAACGAGTAGTAATGCACCGTCCTCAGCTAAGTCCAAAAAGAATAAGAGAAAATCTATAGCGGTTACCACCTCAAAAGATGCTTCTCCATCACGTCAGGAGCAACTTTCCCCTACTACACCGGCTCTTGATACTGCGGAAGCCAGTATTGAGAACGTTAACAAAAATCCGTATATTGAAGTTGTTAACAAAAGGATCAGAACTTTGAGAAAAAAGATGGTGAATGTGTAGACTACTTTAACTGTTTCGTAAAGAATTCTTTTGATTTTTTTTTTTTTTTGAGAATTAAATTATTTTGTAATTGATCTAATTATCTAGGCAAGAATCGAAAAATGTGAAGAGATCATCAGATCTAGTCCTGATGGGAAAAGTCAATTGAATAACGATCAGCTACAATCATACGAACGAAAGGGTGAAGTTGCTGGTGCTTTAAAAGAATGCGAAGACATTTTGAAACAGATCGAAAATATTGATAAAGAGGTTAGTTAGCATATGTTTATGTCAGTTTACTTGTAGAGGATTGTTTATTCATTTTTAATTTAAATTAGGATACTAAGAACCAAAAAATTCTGAAAGAACAACAAGATGAGCGCGAAAAAGCCACTACAAATGCTGTTGATGAAGTCAAGGTACTTTATTATTGAGATTATGGAAATTAGAGATTGTTGACTTAGTTTACTTTCTTTTATCTTCATTATTAGACCACGTATTCTCGATCAATCATATGCCTCCTTCAGTTCTTTCGACTCGTTCATTTTCAACAAGTCGGTATTGTTCAACTATCACAGGCTGAATCGGAAGCTGTTGAAACTTTCCGTGCTAAACTGACTAATATTGTAGACGAAGTAAAAGATGATGTTAGTGAGCTGCGGATCCAAGAAACTTTAGACAATATTAACAAACTACACCATGGTGATGAAAGTACAATTATCGAGCCAATGACTAACGGCGCTAATGATGCGAGTTATAAACTGGGCGTGCCATCTCACGGAATAACTTGTATGTTTAATATTTACATTAGAGATACGATATCTCACTACTATTAATATAAATTTTATTATTATTTTTTCACTTATACAGATTCTCATATTCGTTCGTTAATTTTGAGTCCACCAATAATAGACTCCGTTGATATACAAACAGAGCAAGAAGAATCGTATGAGACGCGTGAAGTAGTTAATGCTCAAGTGGAAGGGCCATCACATTTTGATGAGAATTTAGGTATACATTAAAATCTATCAAATATGATAATTTAAATTTGGTTTCAAACACATTTATATTATCTCAGGTGATACGTATACGATTCCAGTTGGTGGGTTACAGTTTATGTTGCCTCGTGGTATGCTTAAATATTCCATTCTTTGCGATCATTTCAATGTAATAATCACTAATTTATTAACATTTATTAATAATATTTTTTCTTATTTGAGGTGAACCATCATCTCAAGATATAATTGATCATAATCACACTAGTTATTCATATCCAAATACGGATGTGGATCAGGGCACCCAACTCATTGAAACAACCGCTGATATTCAAGAACAATACCAACAACAACAATCTTTTACCGAGCCTTATATGGTTGAACAGCAACAACAACAATATTCTGTGGAACACCAGCATATTACAGAACATCAACCGGAACAAACTGATCAACAACAGGTTTCTATTAAAAATAAAGAAGAACCATTAGCACAACAGCAAGAGCTGAATCAAATTTCCGATACCTCAACTAATGTTCAACAGCAAGTACTTCAACAAAATGATACGTCTCCACCAGCTCATTCGAATAATTACAAGGGAAATCATCGTGTTAATCACCGAAATAACCGTGGTAGCGGCTATAGGACACAAGGAGGTCAGGATTCCAGAAGAGATAGCGGCGGTTATAGGGATGGCGGACATCGTGATGGTGGTTATCGTGGTGGACGTGGTTATTCAAATTCTGGTTCTCGTAGTGGCCGAGGCGGTGGAAATGGATATCAAGGTTGTTAAATATTGTGTCCTTGTACTTAGGCATTACTGTATTATTAATTTTATAAACATTGCTTTATTAGGATACCGTGACCGTGGTGGTAATCAGGGTAATCAGTACAAACGTTCTCAAGGAAATTAAATGTGTTTTATACCTGCTTCTGGACAATCAAAACAAATGAACAATTATTTCCACTTAGAAATCTAATTCGTAATATATTTGCGTGTAGATTTCTTGTTGTGAAAACTTAGGCGATCGATTGGCGTTGGAGAGTTTTTTTTGACATTGTATTACGCAATTAAAATAATAGTAAAATCTTTTAATAGATCCAAAAAAAAAAGTTGTTTTTTTTTTGCATCTAGTGTAATGTAATAAAGTTCAAAGATCCGCCATAAATGTGGCGGGTTGCATTTTTCAATATAAATTCATTTTTGGCTTACTCGTTTTAACTTAACAATGTCAATTCCATTATCAATGGCCAATTTTGAGTATCCAGACTTCAGGCTTTTGTACCATTGCCAATATAATTAATGGATCGACTAATGCCAAGACAATTTACAGAATTCACTTACTGAAATATGATCAGCGACATGATTGAAGTACATTAAATATACAGTATATGATACGTTTTTATACGTAAGTTTCAATATTTTAGTAATCAACTAACTCAAAGTTTATATAAAAAAGACAACTTTTTTAAAAAATTATTGCTTTATTTGAAATAATTGTACAAATGGTTTTTTGAATAAAAAAAAAAGCTTAAAGGTAATTTTTTTTGGACAATTTTAAAAATATTTTATATTTTTAAAACTTATTTAAATTTGATTTTTTTTTATTATTAATGCCAAATTGGAAATAAAATAGCATAAAAAAATATACAGTATCACGATGATATGGGATCTTTGCTAACAAAATGATCTTCCGAGGCTATGTTGATTTTGTGAATAAAAAATTAAATTTGCCAGCCATCTAGCAATCCAATTTGAATGAATTTTTTTTTATTTTGTAAATCTCAATAGAATCTACAAATTAAAAAAAATTCATTCAAATTGAATAACTAGATAGCTGGCAAATTTAATTTTTATTCACAAAATCAACATAGCCTCGGAGGGTCATTTTGTTAGCAAAGATCCCATATAAGGAAAAATAATTACAAATAAGGGCCAAGTGAAAATAATTACATATATAAAGGCATCATGATGATAGCGGTTCTTCGAACATTATCATTGTATACTACTTTATAAACCTTAAGATGCGGTTTTATTGTGATCAGTGTTGAAAATTCGAATGTGCGGATCCAATCAAATTGCTTGATTTCAGAATTTTCAACACTGATTGTGATGTTCTTTAGGTTTTAAACTAAGTCTGTCCCACACCAAAATTAGTTATAAAACGTTATGAAACACGAGTCATATTTTGTGTGAAGGTTACTACGCGTAAATCAAAGTTATTTAGAACTGCAAAAACTCATTTGTACTCAGAAAGTAAATTACTTTTGGAAATCGCAAAATTTCTACATGTGGGTGGAGTCAATAGAAAAGGGACAATTAAAATATCTCAACAACTAATTTATCAAACTTGCTAAAAAATTTTTTATTTTAATTTTGAAATTATTAAGAATTAAAATAAAAAAAATTTATTAAATTTGATAAGATAATTGCTGAGATATTTAAGCTTAAAGTCAAGAAAACTTTCACTTAGAAAAAATTTGCCCTTTTCTATTGACTCCACCCCATGTAATAAATGTTAAAAACTTGTAATCTACAGTAATTAGTTACAATTAATTTGGGCCCTTGACTGTAATACTGTTCAAATTTTGAGTAATTTTCATTTTCGAGCCTTTATATCTTACCAGTTCGCATGAATCAAAAAAAATTGAAAATTTTAAAATATTTTTGGTTAGTTATTTACAAATATTTAACGCTTATAACTTATAGTGTTGGTTTTGAGGGTGAAAGAACTATTACAGGGGAACACTGTAAAAAAATATTATTTCTTGCTTTAAATCGATAAATAAAAAATTGACACATCACATGATCTGTAAATTTTTGGGAGACCGGCTGGGACATACAACACTTACTAGACAATTACTAAATTATACGTTTCTTTCAGCCGGTCATGACGTCTACACGGCTGCTGTATTGTTCTGTTGTTTCACGTGTGTAATTCATTACGACAGTATTACGAACACGCGTTCTGGTCATCACATTTAGTACATAGCGATAGCAAATTTAGTATATATCAAAAATATGTGATATAAGTGGAATCCAGTAATAGTAAGATTTAATGCATAAGCGTTGTGATAGGTGGTATCGCCCAATCAGAGTTACAACACTACATCATAAGCGATCAATGATACAACATCTACGTATGTGTCTTTGTACATGTATAAATAAAGATGGATTTTAATGTTCAATTATATTTCATTTGTAAATTTACCTTATTTCCTTTGCCGCAAATCCTAATTGTTTTTGTGTAGTGTGCTGTGTAAATGTTATCGGTTGCTTCTTCGTCTTTATCCTCTCTACCTTCCATGCGAGACTCATTTTCAAGAAATATCTCCGACAGTGAGCAATCTAATGAATCGCAGAAATTGCCTGAACTAAAAAGTCGAGAGGGTAAATCGGAGCATTCGACCCCTTCACATATTGACGATTCGAACAGTCCTCCGGTTTCGGAGGCCTCCCAAAATTCTACTTCTATCCCATCTACAAGTGAAGATCAGCCGAAAGATGACGTAGACGTCTCTCCGTCTACCTCATGGCAAGAAAACCTGACTGGTACTGGGCCTCCGACAACTAATGTGGACACTACTACAATAACGACGACTTCGGTCAGCCCAAAATCTTCGAGTTCTCTAAATATTGAACACTTTGACTTAGATGAACAAGTTAGCACTCCAATTGCCTTAGATATTCCTTCAGCACCTTTCTCAAATTCATTTAGTGATATTACACAGCCTTCAAACTCCAGTAATGAGACAAATGTTGCGCGTCGTCCTTTTAAATTACCAACTCCAAAAACTTCTACAAAAACAAAAAAAAAGAGGAACAGCTTAAATGGTACCGCTGATAGTATGGATGATTCATTCGCAGACTTGCCAACGAATGGCAGTTATGCTCCTGCTAGTTCAAAGAGAAATGCCGAATTTCACGCTTTGTTCCGAAGCGTTCCCGAAGGAGATTATCTTATAAATGGTACTTTTTTTCTTTTTTATATATTTAAAAAAAAAAATAACTAATATTGACGGTTTTATTTTAGATTATGGGTGTGCATTGCAAAGAGAAATTCTTGTACAAGGACGTATATACGTTTCGGCTCATCATGTGTGTTTTAATGCAAACATTTTCGGTTGGGTTACCAATGTAAGTCCTATTTCGAACTTTATATCTTTGATTTCTTTTTTTTTTCTCATAAATATTTATAACGATAATGTTGATTTATAGTTAGTGATTGCATTTTCGGATATAGTTTCTATTGAAAAAAGGGTGACTGCATTTGTCATTCCGAATGCCATTCAAATCTCAACTCTTCATGCTAGAGTAAGTTGGCGTTTATCTTATTATAAAATTTTTTTACTCGATTTTTTACTTATAAAATTTATTATACTTTCTTATCTACATTATTTAGCATTTCTTTACTTCTTTCTTATCAAGGGATACCGCTTTCGAATTGTTAAACATAATTTGGAAACAAACTCATCCAGCGTTAAGTCAAAATTTGCCATTTAACGACTCAGAGTACACACCTAACAAAAGCTCCGAAGCTTCAGACGCGTCATCAGAATCAGAATCTTCAGAAATGACAGATGAAGGTGAGAAAAATTCTATTGGATGTTATATGAGAGATTACAAAATATATAGAATGAAAATACCACAAAATAAAATTCAGTTGAAGAATGTTGTAATTATCTTGATCAAATCACATTAACTTGATCAGAAGGTGGCATTCATAAAAACTTGAATTACCAAAATTATTACTTGATCGAATCAGACCTATGTATAGTGAGTCATAACTCTCTAATGATGAGAGTAAATGCCATAAGAATCATTCATTACCTCTATCCCCTACAAAAAAGCGGGTTTGAGGATGATGCTTTGTTAAAGGAAGCAAAGGTCATCGACTGAAAGTGTATTGCGGAATTAAAATTTCCAATTCTTGACATTACCTATATTTATTTCTGATTTAAAAGTTTCAGAAACCAGTGAGCCAACTCTTCATCCTATTTCTCCGCACGCCCAGTCTCGCCATCTTGCAAGGTCTAATACAAATCTTAAAAGGCGGAGGGTTTCTACGCAATGTTCATGTTTGAGAAACGGCCAGCATTATGACAATGTTTCTTTAGATGCAACATTCACGGGGACAGTGGAGAAATTATACAACTTGTTAATGACGAGCGGGTTCGTAAAACGCTATATTATTGAAGAGGAAAAGTGTACAGGTATTTTATATATTATTATTATTATTATTATTATTATTATTATTATCTATCGCGAAATAACGCCCAGCGTTATTTAGAATTATGGTCCTAATTAAGCTTAATTTGGGCCAAATTCAAATTTACACCCCTGTGCGTTATTCGCGATTATGCGGTATTATATATTATTATTATTATTGTTTTTTTTTGTTTTTGTTTTTTGTTTTATTTTGTTTATTTATTTAGGGGTATCGATTCCCCTGTATTTTATATGATAATTACAATGGTTTATTATTATAAAGATGTTGACTTCGGAGAATGGAAAACACAAGACGATAAATTGAGACGGTCATCAAGCTACATAAAACCATTAAATTTCTCAATAGGTATATTAAATCAGTTTATTTTTTCATTCGTTTATTTTAGTTATCTTTTTTTAATTTTCTATGTGCCTACAGGTCCAAAAAGCACAAAGTGTTATATAGAGGAAGAATGTTTACATAAAGATTTCGACAAGTGTGTTAAAACAGAAAATTTCTTTGATATCAGAAAATTTCTTTAATATTTTTACTTCTTAAAAATTAATTTTTCCATTACTTATATATAGTTACGTTACAACTTTGTCAACGACAACTACACCCGACGTACCATCTGGTGGGAGTTTTTGCGTAAAATCAAGAATATGTATAATGCGTGCAGGACTTAACGAAACTAGAATAATCACTACTTGTGCCGTCGAGTGGTCAAAATCAAGCTGGCTTAAAGGTGTGCACAAATCAGTGTAATTTATCAGTAACATATAATTATTGTATTTGGCAATTTATAAAATATTCTTACTTTTCGCAAATAATGACAGGAACAATTGAGAAAGCAAGTATTGAAGGACAGCAACAGTACTGGCAGAATCTCACACGAGAAATTAAGAAATATATTGCGGTACATCCTTCAGAATTTCAGGACGAATCAGGGTCACCAGTTCGAGAACGTATGGAAGCCGACGAAGTCGAGAAAGATTGGGTTAAGAGGACGCAAACTCGATCTAAAGAGCGTACTCGGTCTTTCCAAATGCCAACTGAGACTACCGTTATAGAACAAGCAGAACCGACACCAACCCAACGTCAAATTGCTGGAGTATGGGGCACTATTATAGAGGTTCAGAGTATCTTATCTTCTATACTGTCACCGATATTTCAAAACATTTCTATTCCGTCAACCAATGCTATGATAATGTGGGCGATATTAATAACGATGATAGCAAATTTTTACAATTGGTTTCTTTTACAAGGCATTGTGCACAGACTTGATAGTATTGGAGGGAACAATGTTCCTGTTTTTGGGCGTGGTCGTAAAAATGACTTTTTCCATGAAGCTCGACGACAAGAATTTGCATCATTACTTGACGATCGAATCGAGGATGAAGATGTGCTATGGCAATGGTTAAGCGAAAAATCAAAAATATATGAAAAAGACCACCAAAATAACTAGGGTTGTGATCAAACCTTTTAAATTATGATATTACTGCATAGTCTAGTTTGCGAATCAGGATTTTAAAACTCAAATAGTGAACTCAAAATTTGTTAAATCAATGCTATAAATTATTTTTTCAAATTAAGAACAGTAAGTGGTTTAACAACCAGGCGGGTATGTTGAATAAAAATGATGATAGTCTAATAGTTATATCAAATATGTACATAATAAATAAAAAACATCCAAAATAAAACCGAAATTCAAACAGAAAATTTTAAAAAAGTAAAAATTCAATATATTTTATTATTACATGAGTGATACCAAATTAAAACATATGATGTACTAATAACTTGTTAATACATGCATATAAATATGTTTAAATATATAATTATATATATAGTAGATTTTTTATAATTTACTTTTTTTAATTGAAAATAAGAATTTTTTTATAATGTAAATAGTAGTATTTAAAAAAAAAAATTTAGATTGCTTATAAGCTAAAAACAAATTTTAAAAAATATTAATTTTATATCTATAGTTTTTAATATAATATTGTGGTTTATATAAAGAATAACAACTTTTATTATTGCAGAAAATCATGTAATTTTTTTAGAAAGAGTTTTCAAAATATCATATTATATATAAATAGCTAATAATATTAATTTATTATACTATAATAAAAATTATAATAGTATTATATTAACTTCTGGTTATGAAATTTTCAACAACTAAGAATGAAATTTTTACTAAAGATATACTGAATATAGTATTTGGCTACAAGTAGTACATACTCGGCACAATCAAATAATTATTTGATAATAAACTTAGTAAGTATTTGATGATCACCGATTTTCAAATCAGGTAATGCATAATCTCGATCTAATAAGCTTGTATATCGATCGATATTTAACGCTTATGGTGAGAATAGATTTTTTTAGATCCCCAGGTTTGAATTTTTTATATTGCATTAGTTACAAAAAAAATTAAAAGCTTAGAACATTTTTTATTATAGAATACTAGATCTGATATTAGAATGTTAAGCTTAAATCATTATTATAAAACACTAAATCTGACATTCAAATGTTAACATTCGAATGTTCTAGTTAGAAATAATATATTTTGTGTTTGTTCTGTCTATTGTTTTTAACTCTTTTTTCATCTTTTTCTACAAGAATAGTTTGGGTTCTTCATTTAATAAATGGCTTTTTAGAATGCAGTATAGTAATTTTGATAGTAATTTTGCCTCGAAACTATGTAAATGCATCTTTGGTTGAAAAGTATAACGGTTTATTTTTTTTTTTATCTCTTTGTTGAATTCTTTTGTTGATATGCTATTTGAATTTAATTTTCAAGCCCTTTTTTTATTTCTTGACAGGTTCAGATAAATATTTACTATCTCTTAAACCATCCAGTTTTAGCAGGCAAATATGTCTGCTTAAATTTTATAAATTCATATCTGATCTATTTTTTTAAATATTTTATAATTTTTTTTTTTAAATAAAAACTAAGATTATATACTATTTAAAGTTTCTTTTTATTTGCTTAATATTTATAAAAAATTTGAAGTTGTTTAGAAAAGAAAATTTTATAATTTTTTAAAAAAAT